ATGATCCTATACAAATATATCAGACCCCAGGGAGCTGCGGGCCTTCAGAGACCATATGGAGATTAGAGAGACCAAAGACATTAGGGAGAGCCTAGCAGACCTACACATCTGTACCAAGGCCCCCAGAATTAGACTTCACTAAAACTGTGGCTTCAACACCCTCTGTTTTGACTTGTTCTTTCTTTCATTCAACAAAGACTTAATAGGCAAATCCTGTAAGCCAGACAGTGAGCGGGGTGCTTAGAAATATTTAGAGAAAGGGAAAGAAAATAAAACCCCTTTTGCTCTCAAAATGCTCATAATCTAGGGAGAAAGATAAGGAAGTAAGGAGATTATTTCATTATGGCAGGGTAAGCCCTTAGAAAGAAATAAGAGAAGTGGAGGCAGGAATAAGGTGCCAAGGAAGGTCTTCTGCAAGTATGCCCTACTGAATCTTAAAACATTGGTGGGATCAGGCAAACAAAAGCAGCAGGGAAGGGTGTTCCTGGCAGAAGGAATGGCATGTGCAAAAGCGTAGAAGATAAGAAAAGATTTTGTACACTACCCAGACCGTATGAAGTTCAGAATGTCTGTAGGAACACTGCTAGTGGGATAATGCCAGTGGACAAAGCTCCAGAGGCCACCAGGGGCCTGAAAGAAAAGGGCCTTTTTTGCCTGAAAGTAATTGAGTGTTACTGAAGAATTTTAAGCAAGGGCATAGCACAGTCATATTTGCATTTTATAAATATCACTCTGTAAGCATTCTAATAGCAAAGAGAATGGAGGTTTGGGAAACGTGTCAGGGGAAATCTATCGGACTCATGTTTTGCCCACGATGGATCTCACATCTAGTATTGTCACGCCAAAATAATATCTCAGAAATCATCTCTTCTAACCCCCTTATCACAAAGATGAAAAAACCTATTGCAAGGGATGTAAAATAGTTTATCCAAACTACTTATCTTTTTTTTTTTAAAGATTTTATTTATTTATCTGAGAGAGACACAGCGAGAGAGGGAACACGAGCAGGGGGAGTGGGAGAGGGAGAAGCAGGCTTCCCGTGGGGCAGGGAGCCCGATGCGGGGCTCGATCCCAGGACCCCGGGACCATGACCTGAGCCGAAGGCAGGCGCTTAACGACTGAGCCACCCAGGTGCCCCCAAACTACTTATCTTTAAAAAAAATTGCAAATGAAATAAAAAACTCTGCCCCTCAATTCAGCCCTCCCAGGTCCCACTATCCCCTGCCCCTTTGCTGGCATTTCTGCTAGGTGGGTTCCCTTCTGCGGACATAACTCGGGGAAGATCCTCTTCAGTTGCTAAAAACATTTACCAATTTTGAGAGCTAGTAGGATACCTATTCTATGAACATGAGAAAGAATTTAAGTGGTTTTGTACATGGTTACATAGTGATTACAAAGTTAAACCTTTTAAACCAGAGATTACTCTTGAGCTTCTAATACTATTTAAATTACAACTCCTAAATCTTGAATGATGTAACACTCTAAAGTCCAAATGCTGCTTTCCTCTCTCCCTCTTTTCTTTTAATTCTGTACATCACATGGAAGTTACTTAACATGACAGAAGGCGACCTGGCTAGATTGGCCTGGTAACAAAATCTTAGAGGGGTTCTCTGTGCTATAATACTCACCATCCCCTCAATCCTCTATAAAAATAAACACGTTGATTATGTCATGTTTCTACCCAGGAAATCACAAAGAAATCCACAGAGGTGCATCTAATCTATATAATACTACAATCTCATGATCCACTGCGTTAGTTCCTTCAAACGACCACAGTAACCAGATCGTGCAGAGCACCAGGTCCTAGTTTTCACAGCTCGGAGGCAACCAGCCATCAGCTCATTATTCCTGAAACAAATTTTGCAAGGTAAATAGATCTCATAGACTCAAACATCATGGATAGGTTAATTTAGTCAGTATCTAGGGATAAATTAAGGCAGTTGTCTTAACCACGCAGATATTAACAGACACTTGCTTCTGGAATACCAGATACCCAAAGCAAAAGAAAACAGTGTCTGGGATAATCCCAGACTACGAGTCCTAAAAGTCATTTCCATTTGCTTCAAGCCAACATGAGAGACAACACATGAAAAGCAGTTCCATTATTACCAATGCAATAAATATTGTCATCAACCCCTTCAAAGTAGAGATCAGTAAAGAATCAGTGAGCCCAACGTTTCACTGCTCTGTACCCTTATAGACATTAGCTTCATTTAAACCCTCATGAGAACCTGCATGTTTATTTCCATGTCACAAATGGGTGAGCAGGCTCAGAGAAGTACAGACACTTGTTTACTCTCACACAGCCTGAAAGTGGTAGCTGCAAGGTGAACCCATGTCTGTCTGAAACAAAGCCTGTGTTTTCTGCCTGCCAGGCCCCCATGTGTGAACTGGCTCCAAGGGGGTGGAAGGATCCAGGTGATATGCTGCTGGTGCAGGACAGGGAGGGAATCAGGCCAGGGCAGGAATCATGACGGAGCCCCAGAGAGTGGAGAAATCAGAAAGTCCCTGAAATTAGATTACGTATTGATTTGCCTTTTGGAGCGATCCCTCCACCGAAGAAGTTGATGCAGAGGTTTTGTTCCTCCTGTTTAATAAATCAGGACAAGTAAGACTCAGAGACTGTCACTGCTTAGATCCCAGGGGAAAGCAGTGATTTTTCCACGCACACCCCAAATCTCCCCGCTGAAGCCCAGGGCTAAGTCCCCCTTCCATAGGACTTCCTGTTGTTCCATCACCTGTAAGAGCTCTGCATCTATTTGACCAGGAAAGGCATCTTCTTAGATAGAAAGGGAAAAAGAACACCTCTTTTAAATTCTCTCTACCTTGCTAAAGTGTTTCACATATATTTAGCATTATGAAGCCTTATCACGATAGCTAAAAATGAAATAAAAATCATAATGTATTTTTGCTTTTATGGTTATAAGTTAAATTCTCTGAAAGATTCTATCAGTAAAATCAATACTTCATAAGACACTTTTATCAATCCCGAGTGCCAGGAACCCAAAGTACAGTCTCATCCACGGTGTACTGATTTTTAGAATTCTTTAATAGAGTTTCTAGACATGTCATTTATTTTTCACTCTGCCAATGAAATAAATAGTGAAGGCTTTTGTGCCATGTTTCATTGGCTGGACAATGACAGCCCTGAGTATCATAGTCAGTGCTGCTGGACTACTAACTAAGGAACAAAATTAAACTGCAAAGAATAAAGATACCCAGAAAGTCAGGAAGCAGAAAGAAAAGGTATCGTGCTTTATGGGTGTTCATTCTAGATGTGTTCATTATATGCCAAAGCCTGGGGAAGGCAAATATGGAATTTAAAAAGACACCATCTGTTGTGTGATGTTCCAAATTATAAACTTAACCCTTAATTTCTACATCCCCTGCTGTTCAGTCGTTCTTCTTCTTCAGGATGAAAAAAAAAAAAAAGGTTAGCACATTAACTAAGCAGGTTTAGCAGGACTGATGGATATGCCCCATAAGATATTTTGATAAGCCCAACATCACAACTGTATATTTTCTCCAGAAAGAAATTCTTGTTATATTTTACTCTTAAAACAAACACTACCCATAAATACAGTAGTTGCCAGAAGCTGAGGGTCCATACAACCCACAGCAAGCCACAGGCTTTTCTGCGATTTTTATATTACTTAATATCTCAGGGCTCTTCGAAAGAAAAAGCAGAGATTTTAGAAAGCTTTCAAATCTGTGAAATGAAAAGTAAAATAATCCTGCAAGTGAAGAGAGTTTCTTTTCAAAAAATATTTTTTTAAGACCAAAAACCCCCACAAGAGTGTGTAGTCCAAGTCAAAAACATTTCCTGTTTAAATATTCAAATGCAACCTGTGGCATGCATAATAGGAGAAATTTCCATTAAAAAGCAAGACAAAAGTAAGGTGTCCTCGAAAATGCCCATGTTTTCTTACTCATAGGTCTGAAATAGCCCCGTTTTTAAAACACACTTAACAAATGCAACACAGCTCAATCAGGATTGATTTGAGTTCACAAAATAATTTTATTATATGTAAGAAAGCATACAGGCAATAAAATGAAGAAACATTCACAATGCATAAATAACACGGACCTGATGCAGGAGATATTTTTCAGTAGATTTCCTTCTTGTTACCCATTTCATCTAAACACTGTGTACATTGATTATCAACAAGAATACTCTGTAAACATTTCAAAGAAATTCTCTTGAAATGCCCCCACATGAATGAGTATCTGGCAAAACAGACTCATGATACTTTATACAGTTGAGATGATGAGATAGGAACTTGATTCCAAAGCACAGAGAAGGAGCTAGCCTTTGTCAAAAGAGATCCTGGTGGCTTTGGAGCACTTAACACACCCAAAGAGAAGGGGTCTCCTTTTATTTCCACCAAGAGAAGTGTCTAACTCGAGGATGATAATGAGGCACTATTCGTTAGTATACTATTAACATTTAGACTTAAAAAAAAAATCAATTCTAAATTCAGAATAAAGCACTACAAAAAGTCGCCCCACTGAGTGGTGTGATTTGACCTGGTAAGATGGAGATGCAGGATTTGACCTTTGTCTGTTGGTGAGACTGTTATAACCCAAATATTAAGGAAACCTACTGTCTTTACTACACGTATCTAACCAGGACAGCCACTTGTTGCTTCAGAAAAGCTATCTGACACTGAAATGAGAAAGACGCAGAAGGCCAAGTATTTTACATAAATACAAAGTGGCACATACTTTTTATTACCACCTAAGGTCATAAATCTCAAGTCAGGTCCTTCTGAAGCTGGCTTTTATTTAAGATATTTACAGAACTGCAAATCTTTCTCCTGGGAAAGTCTCTGTCATTTAAGAAAATTTGAACACAATAGTAGCTATGCCTTTTTAAGTTTTTCAAAATCTTTCTAGAAAAAAAAAATTCACAGCATTTGTCAGTTCTCACCTCATGTTTATTAATGCCAATGAATTTTAAAGAAGTATCACAACTTCATTTCCTATCAGTCTTTGCTGTTTCTGGAAGTTACCCATGAGCATTCAGAATCTCAGAGTTTGTCTGTTTCATTGGCCAATAAAGTGCTAGTTAGATGGACGAAATGTGATTGTAAGGTCTCAGATACTTCATTAGTTTATCCTATAACATCTGATAAATATAGATTTATTTAATAAATTTAAAATATCCATATAATACAATAAATAAATAAAACCATTATCAACAAAACATCTCTCAAGTCTGGAAAAAAAAATCCCACTCCTACTGTAAGGCTCAATTATTTTTTAGAAATAATTTATGAAGGCATGCACCTACCTTTACAATCTGAAAACTCTGCTTGGGCCAGTGTTAGCACCTGTTTGTACACAGCAAACTCGACCCTTCTCATTTCCTTCCTGGAAAGGATTTATTTTTTAAGCGATGCTGTTCATTGTTGATTCTGTGCCCTATTTTTTAAGTCCTAAGATAAGAATCAGTTTCTAAAAATAATTTTGGAGCCAAAGACATGTCCCTGTGAACGTTCACTTCACATATGTCCCTCTTTGATTCACCATGAACAACACAGAAAACACACTGGAATGTATTTTAAAATATAGTTAGTTGTGTGTTTAAGGAACAGCAGCAGAGGAGGGCTTGCCTGACATCTGAGTCTCACCACACCTTGGTTTCCTAACAGCAAGCCACTGAAAAATCTCCTCCAGTTTTTGGGATGAGCCTGTCTGGCCGGATTCATCTCAGGGTTCAGGTTGGATGCTGTCCGTTTTGTGTGATGGGCTGGATCTTCTCTAGAGAGACATCGGTGTCATAGTCCAATATGACAGATAGGGCCGGGGACAGCTTCTCCAAGGGTTTGGCCATTCCACCTGCCTCCTCCTTCTTCAGGTCCTCGGAGGAGCCCACTGCATGTGGGATCAGATAAACCAGATTGCAGTCCTTGGAAATGGAGCCTCGAGGCTCGTGATGGCTGGAAAATACCACAGCCCCATTGTTATTGATGCTAACCGTCTCTATGGCATTATTCGTGGTAGGGCAAAGTCTGTAGCATCCTAAGAGAGTTGAAAATGCCTTCCGAAAATCAGCATTAAAGGCATAAATGATGGGGTTCAAGGAGGAATTAGCCCACCCAAACCACACAAACACATCAAAGGTGATGGAATCAATGCAGAAGGGCTTGGTCTCCCCAGACCCACAGAAGGGCACCATGCAGTTCAAGATGAAGAAAGGAAGCCAGCAGCACACAAAGACCCCCATGATCACGGACAGAGTCTTCAGAACTTTAGTTTCTCTTTTGAAGGACATCTTAAAGGAGCTTTCTGGTTGAGAACACTCCACCGGGTTTCCATTACCTGTAGTGGTCTGGCAATTCTTGGCATGGACTGCTGCCCTCTCCAAGGCCGAGATGCGCCGTATTTGTTTCTGGGCGATCCTATAGATCCTGGTGTAGGTGACAATCATGATGGCCACGGGGATATAAAAGCTTATCAGGGAGGATGAAATGGCGTATGTCCTGCTTAAGCTGGAATCACAGTTGTCCAGGGTCTCACCCAGGGAAGTGGCATTGCCGTCGGAGGAGCTTGTGGGTTTCGCCTTGTGCCAGCTGAGCTGTACTGGGATGAAAGAGATGAGTACAGACAAGGTCCATGCCACGCTGATCAGGATGAAGGCTGCCTTGGGGGTCATCTTCCTCTCATACCGGAAGGGGCTGGAGATGGCCCAATACCTGTCCACGCTGATCACACAGAGGTTGAGGATGGACGCGGTCGAGCACATGATGTCAAAGGCCACCCAGATGTTACAGAAGGACCCAAAGGGCCAGAAGCCAGCAATCTCCGCCACCGCTTTCCAGGGCATGACCAAGACAGCCACCAAGAGATCCGATACGGCCAAGGAGATGACAAAGAAGTTGGTCACCTTGGACCGCAGGTGTCGGAACCTGATGACAGCGGCACAGACCAGTGTGTTCCCCAGGAGTGTGGACAGGATGAGCAGAGACAGGAAGCAGGCTGTAAGGATGCGGAAGGAGAAGTCTCTCTCTACCACCAGCCCAGCCCCATCCATAGTAGAGGTGTTTAGAGTCCTCATCTTGCGGAGGGAGAGCACATAGGGGGCTCTGACACTCTCCAGTTCCTAAGCAGGGATGAGGGGTCAGTCCCACCTGCAGGAGTTCTCACTCACCAGGCAGCCCCTGGCACAGCCCCGCCGGCTCCCCGGGGTGGAGGACCTCACCAGCATTCCATCAGAGGGCTGCAACAATTGGGTGGCAGAAGCCTGCCCTTGGCAACCCAAGTCAGCCCCTTGGAAGGTCCCTCTTGCTTGTTACGACTGTCTTCTGACTCCCTTGCTCCAGGTCACTGTCCTGTTGACCAGCTGGCCCTTCAATTCTCCATGGAAGGCATTGGCTTTTTAGCATATTCTAAGCTATCAAACCAGAGACTCCCAGGCCTCTGCGGATCTAGGCAATTGTAGTCATATCTTGGGGCTGTTGCCTCTCTGGTGGTGACGGAATTCTCCCCTTTTGAAGGTGCAGCTGAAAATACATGCCTCACTCCTCCAAGCCCCTGGCTCCACCGCAGCTCTCCAAACGCCCTAAAAAAGCAAAAAGAAAGCAAAGGTTGTTCGCCAGGACTTGAGCCGATCGCAGCTTTATCCGTATCAAATCCACTTCGACTCAGTCCGAGCCACCTACCTTGCCTTGAGGTTGTCTCTCTCAAAGCCCCGGGAGCTCGGAAAGCGGGCTTTGCTAGGCGCCGCAGCTCCGCAACGCCCGGGAGGTGGGCCTGACTCCTGCCCCGCGCGCGCCGCCGGGGTCTGGCTCCTGATGCGCAAAAATCACAGGGCAGGTTTGGGAAATGATCCCAGGCCAGGTCCCCCGGGGCCGGCGCTGCCCTACTGCCTCCAAAGGCTAATGATTGTTTAAAGCCGAGGACACCCGGGAAAAGGGCTCCCGGGCGCTCGGCGCGTCCTTGAGAGAGGGTACCTCCAGGACTAGTCACTTGGAGAGCTTCTTTCCTTCGCTGCCTTTTTCCCAGAACCGAGCGCCCGGGCGCCCCTCGGGTGGCCTCTGGCCCTTCGGGGCAGGGCTCTGCGCCTCTCCGCCGCACTATCCGCTAGCTCCCGGGAGCCCGTGGGAACGCCAGGCAGAGAGCGCCGAGCTGGCAGCGGCGGGCGCACGGGCCAGCCGGGTTCCCGTGGGGCACAGCCCACCCCGCCCCCGCGTCCCCTCCCCTGCCCTGCCTGGGGGCGGGCTTTGCTTGACAGGCAGAGTTGCGGGCGACAGCCGCACGTGGTCCCTTGGATGGTGCCGCGGGCGAAACGGGGGGCGGGGGACGCCCAGGTGAGCGCTCGCACGCCCTGGGGTACCGGCTAACCCGCGGACCCTCGGACCCCTGGACAGCACGCGACAGGGCCCGCCAGACGTCAGTACCTCAAGTAAGCCCGAGACGCCTGAAAGCGAAGCTCGGCCGACCGACATTCATTGGGGTCGACCCCACGCCCTTCCCAAAGACCGAAGCAAGCAGGGACCCTGCCCACTCACCCACGCACACCAAGCCCTGGAACGGCTGGCGTCCGACCTGCGCTGTCTCCACGTGTCCCCCAACTAGGGTGAGGCATGCCCCGCCGGCGCCCCTACTCACCGCTCTCGGAGAGGGCTCGGCGCTGCGGCGCGCCTGGCAGGTGCGCTCCGCTTCGCCCGGAGGCCGCTCACTTCCCGCTCCGCGGGGACAGCCGGCGCGTCGCGGGCTGCGGTCAACGCCGGACTGCAGCCGGTGCCCCGCGCCGGGAGAGCGCCCCAACCTCAGCACCACGAGCTCGGCAGGCCCGGGGCGCCCTCTGCCGGCGGCTTCCCACGGCTCCGCTGCGCCCTCACAGGTACAGACCTCACCCGCACCGGCTCCCGGGTTCACGCGGGACCCGCGCCCGGACCGGCACTTTCCCGACCACGACTGCCAAAACCTGGAAAGGGGGATGCGCAGTATTCCTCATTTAGGACTCATTCTGCTAAAAAATGACAAGAATGAAAAATTCCTTTTGCTGGCTCTGCATTCATTGAATCGGTATTATTTTCCTGAGCACTCACTGCGTGCCAAGAGCAAGGGCGATAGGGTGAGCAAGACGCAAGCTTTACTCTCAAAAAGACGAGACAGAACTGGCATTTACTGAGCGACCTCCGTGTCCCGGGCACACACCTTACGTTGTTCACCCCTTAAAACAATCCCTTCTCCTAGGCCTGGTCATCTCCACTTTGCCCAAGTGGAAAATGAGGTTCAGAAAGGTGTTCAAAGTTACAGTTAATGTAGGTACCGGCTGCCTGACTCTCGCCTGCGTGTTCTTTTCACTTACGTGTCACTGCCTACTAGGGAGCTCAGGCTCTAGTGTCAGAGCCAACAAACTAAATAAGTAATTACCCACAGGTCTAAAATAGAGCTCAGGGCAAAATGGAGGCAAGAGGGCCCTAGTGGAGAAGGATCTCCCTGGCTTCTTCCCAGCTGCCCTGGACAAAGCTTCACAGGTCAGACTTCGAACGAATTTGTAATTAAGTGGCACCATCGCCGTGCCTTCCTGGGCAAGGGGAGTCCATGTCAGCCTGCCTGGCTTCCCGCCCTTACCCTGCCCTGCTGGCTGTGTGGGCTCTCTCTTCCCTGGGCTTGGTTTCTTCCTCTGTAAAACGGTGATGGCATAGCAGGATTGTTCTAAGTATTAAATGAGATGATGTTTACAGAGGGCTTGGCCCTGAGCCTAGATATTCAGCCCCCCATGGGCAGAAATCCCTGGGGGCTCATTAGAAAACCAATAGCCTTGCCTCCTTGAGAACCCGGCACCACATTGGAAGCTACAGTTTTCTCTGTAAAAACCCAGAACCTGAGTAATAATTCCATTAAATTAACCAGTACAACCTGCACCTTGGTTTTAAAGGAAAGGACTGTCTTCCCGGGGCAGACCATCCTGTGCCTCTGCCCCCAGCTCTGTGCGCCCACCATCAGCCTCGCCATCACACTCAGCAACACCATGAGTCATGAGTCAAAATCACAGACAATTTTGCCACACACGTGCCCAAAGAACCACATTCTTATAGAGCCGTAAGCCATGCTTAACATAATACTTCCAGATCATTTTCCTTAAAGCAGGCTTTCCCCCACGCTTCTTGACTTCATCTTTCTTTCCCTTTTACGAATAAGTACAAATTAAACGTATGCTTCTGATTCAAGATGGTCATGTGGGCTTGAACGTTTAACTCCCCACATTCTACCCACCCCATCCTGAAATGTTTCCAGTGCATTCCACCTGGAGATACACACGTAGGAGAAATTCAGCATTAACCCTGGAAAACAGGAAAAAACTGAGGTCCTTTTTCCAAGATAAAGGGCAGATGGGATTGGACTAGAGGAGGGAGGACTTCCCTGGCATTTTCCATATGGGAAGAAAGCCCCCAAAAACCACACTACCAAGATCGAGGTAACAGACGCTGGAGGTCAGGATAAGGCCACTTGAGAAGTGCCCCCAATGCCCAAGCCCTCGCAGAGCCAATAATCCTGGCAGAGCCCACCGCTCTTTAAATTAAAACAAGGATGACAACTACAAACGGAATACCCAGACCCCCGGAGTCTCATCTATAGAAAGCCCAGTGGTGACTGCTCAGGTTCCAGATGGCATCACATTTAATGATATACCAGTCCACTGGCCAAAAAAATACTTGATATGAAATTTAACTCTTACCCAAAAGCTTGTTGGGAACAAACGACATTCATAACATACTCCTTCCCATCCTCGTTTCTCTCAAGCTAGGCAGTTGCTCAAAAAACAAACAAACAAACAAACAAAAAAACAAAAAAAAACCTCTTTCTTTGCTTGAAAAACTCCCTAAATTCTTTCCAAACTAGTCCACGCTGACCTTAGTCATTTTCTCTCAACTCATTCCACCGACAGGTCTAGGTGATCAAATCAACATACATCACTTCTGTAGTGGTCGAGGGGTATTTCTCATCCACAAGTCAATGTCTGCCATTTTCAATGTCAGAACATCAAATGTCCTCCTTACCCGTAATGCACAAAAAGGCTCAGGAACCCAGCTAGAGAAGGAGGGAAGAACCTGTGAATACCCAAGGGGGTGATTTTTGTTTCCTGTCAGCAGGAAACCAGGAGAGTTGAACAATTTCTCGTGATTCCAAGACAAACACCTGAGATCTTGTTCTAGCAGACTTAGTTCACTGATTTTTGAACATGATTGCCGAGGGAACAGGAAAGAGTAAAATGTAGCTTAAATCCCATGGTTTTTTGTTTTTTTTTTTTTCACTTTGCAGAGTGTGAATTTCAGAGGAACTTACAATTTGGCTAGAGATTTCGGCTTTTTTCCATTTTTTTCTCTCTTGAAGCCAAGGTGAAACAAAGGCTTCCGTTTTGTTCTATAAAAATCTCCCCCACAAACATCAAGAACAGGAATATAAATGCAAGCAGGTATTAGCATTAGATCATGCTGGGAATGTAAACCCAAACAAAAGCACCTTTATTTCCCAAATTGGCATGTCTTTTAAGCACCGCTGTGATTTATGCACTGCAGGAAGGAGGAAGTTAAAATGATGCTTTTCAACAAATTTTTATTTAGAGTTTGTAAAAGTAAATCAATACAAAAGGCACATTATCACAGGGCTATCTTAATCTCATAAAAGAATAAATAAAACAACTGAACTGTCAGGTATAACAAAGATACATTTGGGAGGCTTTGGGATTATTAAAGCTGATTTTATACCAAAAATTATTGTTTATAATGTCAATGAAAAAAAAAGAATAAAGCTTAACTGACCTTGACTAAGTAACTAGAATGCTTGTTTTCTACCATAAATATAGCATCTCTGAAATTCCTAATCCCATGTCATATTTTCTTTTCCTATAGTTACTATGCAATCCAAAAATCAACACGATTAAAAATTTTGAAATCAACAAACATTACTTGGTGTAGTGGTTGAGATATAGTTCGGCACACATCATGAGCTTTCTGTTGTTGCATATGTTCATAAGTTCGTGGTTCCCTTTTTCCTCTCCCTCTTTTTCTACCTTCGTTAAGCTTAACTGAATAGTTTTTATTTTATCTCCTGGTATTGCCTTATGTTCTATAATTCTTTGTTATTTTCATGGTTGCTTTAGAGTTTACATCATATATAAGATTTTTATGATAGAATTTATATAATATATATTATAGATCTATATAAGATGCATGCATTATATATGAGTATATATAATCTGTATTATGTATCAGTATAGGATATATATATATCTTGTATTGTATCTTTTCCAAAGCCTATCTTCAAGTGATAGTATATCATTTCATGTACAGTTAAGAATCTTACAATAATATTCTTCCATGTCTCCCCCGCCCGTCTTTCTTAATGCTGTGGTTGTCATACATTTTACTTCTATATATGACATAAACCCTATTAATACACTGTTACAGGTTTTCTTTAAACAGCTAATTATCTCATAGATTTAAATAATAAGAAAAAATATATTACTTACCCCTGTACCATTTCTTTTTTTTTTTTTTAAGACTATTTATTTGACAGAGACAGAGAGAGAGCAAGTACAAGCAGAGG